GTTTAGTCTTCAGAGAAATGTAATTATCTTCCCAACCCACAGAAACTATGTGGAATGCAGTTATTACACATCTTAAACGCTACTTAGGTCCACTTAAGATAATTTGTTCTCGTCTACCTCTTTCTACAGACCACTAGGATTCAGGGATATCTAAAAAGAAAAAAAAAAGGACCTAGTTTAATCCACCTGCTGTGTTGCTACTGCTGATGTATCAAATTCATTATGCCACAAACCACCAGAACAATTTCAGGATACCAGACAGCATGCATGCAGCAGGTGAAAGGGCACTAGAACTCCCACATCTATGTTTTTTTTTCATCCAGACATTTCATTGGAGCAAAATTCAACAATTTAACTGTCACTGGGTTCTTACCCTAGGAATAGCCCAAGACCAAAGATGTAGCAGCTTCAATTACACTGGTATAATCTCTATACACAACACCAGGCATACAATAACAGGTACTTTTAGTGAATTTTAATGGCTAAAAGAATCAGTCTATTGCTGTACCCAAGCCTTTTTCATTGTGGCAGATTACAGTATCAGCAACAGCTGCACTGCAGGAAACAAGTTTTTGTTTGTTTAAAAACATATGTTATACTAAGTCTTTTTCTTCACTTAAAAACACTATTTACCTGAAACTAAAAAAGTTAAAGGATTAGTTTAACCCATTATTATAATAATACATCCCTTCTTTGAAGAATTTCAAAATGCTGTTCTGCAGTCAGGCAAGCAATCTGTTCACATGACAACAGAAGAGTATTTCAAATCTAACACAAACACAATAAAACAAATGGCCAGTGCCTGAACTCTACTAAGAATAAACTGAGCAGAAATTCAGGCATTAACCTAAGAACATGCTAAAACATTTTGGTGCAAGATGAATGCTGAGCTATACCACTAAGTGCAGAGAAATTCACCTGCACATAGACTACAATCCACATTTCCACAGATCATAGAGAACACTACTCAGGTTTCATGGGTCAATACTAATTGGTTAGTGATACCAGCAACTCGTGTTTCACCAGTGAGAACCTGCCCACACATTCAAAAAGCATGAACACCTCTAAATCACAACTGACTTCTACAGTACCTATACACAAGCCAATAAAGCAATGCACTTGGCTTAATTTAATGCAACACACATAAAATAAAGACTAAATATTGTATTTAATGCAACACACATAAAATAAAGACTAAATATTGTATCTACAGTATTCTCACCAGGAAGCATCATGCAGGCACTGACGGGACAGTATGGGACTGCAGATACACAGTAGTCTGTTTAATACAGGACTTCGGATTCCACTAGAAACCTTGTTACAGTCTTCAGGGCTAAATTCCCCATGCAAAGTGCTTCTGCCTTATGAGACAAGAAATTGATTCTCATCTGTTTACTTGAGTTTTAAGACCCTTTACAATTTAAAATAAACATTGAAGACTTTGCTCATTATCTATCAGAACTTAATTTTTGCCTGTATGAAAACAGGTTTCTGAACTGAGTATTTGCTGGATATCATAATGCAACTTTTAGGATCTTCTTAAGAGATCAATCCACCAATGTCTGTTTTGATAAGAAAACTTCTGAACAAGACTTCTGGATTCAAGATCCATTTAAAAAAAAAAAAGTTGAATTTTGCCCTTCCTGATTGCAGCATTGTCCAACCTACCACTCAAGCCACAAACTGAGACTGAATTTGGGCTCCTGATTCAGACACAAGTCAGATTTGCACCAGGATGCACTACCATGCCTGAAATAGAAGAAATTACCTAGAGCAATATTTACAAACCAATTCCACCATTCAAAAATTTGGAGACCATTTCTAATGTCCTTGAAGTTACCTCAAGATACTTGTTCCTCCAGGACTAATAAACCAGAAGTCCAACTCTTTTGCATTAACATGCAACAAGTGAGGCGCTCAAACCACTTTACTAGTGTTTTTTACTAAAGGCACTGGAAGAAATTCCTATTACAGTACTATTATACATTCAGAATAAGCCTGATATGAGAGTAGATTCTTGTATTATTATGAAACATCCAGAAACTGTATTTCCATGAAAACAAAATTTATAGAACATTCTAACTTCAAATATAATATCCAGTCTTCACTGAGGATACATTTGGAAAATTGTTCATGCCATTACTTTGGTCATCTCAGAAGTATTAACACAGAATTCAAGCCCCTGCCACCATAACCCACCTGTATTCCTTTAGTTTTACAAGGCAATAGGGAAGCTTATTTCCCATCTTATTGTGGGCTGGACACTTGGTACTCCCTGATCTGTTCTATCAATCCTCTTCTCAGCAGGACAAGCAACAGAAAATACCATGGAAAAAAATTCACGGTCAAAATAAAGGCAGTTTAATAAAGCAAAGGTCACATAGAGAAGCAAAACACAAAAAAACTTACTCCCTACTTCCCACTGGCAGACAGGTCAAACCACTTCCCAGGAAGTAGGGCACAAAGCTCCGTAGAGAGACTGGAAACTTCCTCAACATACATGTTTCATTTGTTACTTTCAAGACTTCTGGAAGTGTTAATGCCATCTTGCCATCCACTTAAGTTTTGAAATAGCACTACATACTACTTAGAAGTGGGATTGAGATAATTATCCATCTTTATTAACTTATCCAAAATTAGTCTGTCTTTATGCTCCCACAAACATTGGAATTCACTTTTAACAGTGCTTCTCTACCCACAAAAAGTCAAGCAGCTCAAGATGTTTAGAACATCTCACACAAAAATCCACAACACTAGCCTACCCTCCTCCATGCTCTGCACTTCCATTTCTTGCTGTATTTTACTTAGTTTTGAGCAAGCTTTTCACACTATCCCTAATTTAGAAAACTTCCTATGAACATTCACAAATTCCCACTGTTATTTGGAGAATCCTTAATGACTACCAAAAATATGAAAGTCAGAACTCACACAATTTAAAACAAGCTGGTTTATTATTTTCAGTTTAATTTTCCACAAGCCCATACAGGTGTTCACTTGCTTACCCAGCACCTTGCTCTATTGTATGCTGATACTTCCTAGGGAGACAAAACATCCACAAATCCATCAGTACAGAGAAATCCAGTGCTGAATGAATTTCTGAAGTTGAATACAGTTAAGTAAGAAAGTCTGAAGGCAACAGACAACTGCAGTTCCTCAAGAGAAACTCCAATATACTTAAGTAACTGAGGCCACCTTCCTCAGGTATTACAAGCTCAGGTCACCTTTGCCTTCAGTCCCACCTGAAGGCTGGAGGAAGAAAACTAATCCAGAGGATGGAAAGAGTACCGGCAATGTCTATCACCCTTTAGAAGTCAAGAGATCAAAGCTTTCTTACTAAGCAGCAATAAATCATTATAAAGTAAACTTAATTTCCAAGCGACACCAAGGAGCTAAGGTTCCTAATCAGATAACAAAAGTATCTATGCTGTAATTTGCTATTACGCTACCTGCACTTTGTCCTATCCCTCACATGCCAAGATTTCTTACAACTCAGAAGTTACCTGTCATGAGGCAAAGATGTGAAAAGGTACTGAGAAACTTGTACAACTAGGTACAAGGGGATGGCTTCCAGATAGCAAACTGGACATAGCTGCTCTTTAGTAATAGCACTGTCAGGAACAAGTAATTGGTAGCAGAGTAACACACTACTTTTCTATAAGATTTAGCTAGATCAGAACAGAAGCCCTTCTGGAAAACATAAACTACAGTTTCTGCCAACCCTCTATTCCCTGCTTTTTCCTTCTTAAAGCAGGGAAAGCACAAATAGTCTCTGCACAGGAAACTGTTAAACTCATCCCTCAATTAGTCAAGGAAAAATAAAGCAAGAAAACCTTCACTCTTGCTACCCACATAAAATAAAGCAGATACTGAGAAAATGTGTCATTTTAACTGCTCCTAAACCATAGACTTTCCCAGACAAACATAACAAGTCAAAGTTGAGGAGAAAACCACCTATAAATAAGTTGCTGTGGTGCCCAGAACATCAGCACCATTCCAGAGAATAATCTTAGAATTGCCCTTGGTAATACACACAAAATAAACCAGATAATGGAAATCATCACTTCAGCAGGATATAAAACTCCTCTCTTTTCATAAAGGTACTCATTGTGTAAACTCTTCTTTGAAGAATAACCCAAACATCTGCATAAACGAACAGAAGCCTGCTAAACAATACTCCTCCTTAGTCATGACAGGAGCCATCTGTTCATCCTGCTAGCCCCAGGCAAGTGTGGCAAGCACCACCATAACTTGCTCATGTTATGCATCCTTGTACTCCATGTTTCAGTCCATGTTATTTGTGTTTTCAAACTGCAACAACACTGGTGGCATTAATCATACCACCAGATGTATTAACACACACATACCCCTATTAAAGGCTCCAAATAGATAAGAAAATTACCTGTGGTCTTAATTAAAAAACACAAGTGGACCATAGCCTTTTATGCATAGGGAATGCCAGCTTGTAGTTTCTGCAATTATACCTGTCCTGTTGGATGTACTTTCTCTTTTCTTCCTTCCTATTCTATACATTTTTTATATACTTAGCCTAGTTGTTCTTTCAACCGAATGCTACTTTTTAAGGGGACACTTCATGGAGTTTACTGGATTCTACTCAAAACTCCCACTAAATTTTCACGGGTTAACCCCTACATCCAGAAATGCTTGAGTAGGTCCTGTTATTCCAAATTTCAGTGCCCTACTGAAGTGAATATCTTTTCGTGCATCTTTCCCACTCAGCTCTACCAGCTCCCTGCTCTCATTACTGTCGAGCGAAGCAGCTCATCACTTGCTACTGCTGGATTCGCCCGTACACCGGCCAGACCCTGGCACCCAGCAGAGACAACAAAACCAGCCACCTCGGCGGACACGCGTTTTATTGTGTTGAGACCTGGCGTGGGCAGGGCCGAGAGGCAAGGGAGAGGGACCCGAGTCCTCCCAGCCCACGGCTGCGCGGTGTGTGGTTGCCGCCTGTAAAGAGAGAAGCGGGGACCGCTCCGTACCTGACCCAGTTGTCGCGGAACTTGCTCTGCTGGGGCTGGTTCAAGTAAATGGTGCGGGCTGGTGCCTCGTCCAGATCCGCCGCGGACGTGGCTCCGGACATCTCATCATCCGCCTTCTTATAGCCCGAGGTGGAACAGACAGGTCCTGCAAGGAGAGCGCGGAGGGGAGGCGGTCAGCGAGGGGCCGCACCCAGCGGAGCCGGGCCGGCAGCTCCCGGGGCCGCGCCGCGGGGAAGGGCCGCGGGTGGGCGGCGGCTGCGAGCGCGCCCTGCCCGCTGTTTACCACGGCGGCGGCTGTAAATAACGCGTGTCCGCGGAGGGGGCGGCGGGGCGGCCGCAGCCAGCTGGCGGCGGGGACGGCGCGGGGCCCGCGCCCCCCGCCCCGCGGGGATGGGCCGAGCCCCGCCCCGGGAGCGCCGCCCCCGCTCCCGCCCGTGCCAGCGATCCCGCCGGGAACCGCCGGGCGGCCCCCCCGCGCCCCGCATCCCCCGCCTCCAGCCTCCTCGGCTCCCTGCGAGGGAGGCAGCCGGCATCCTGCGCACCGCCGCGGGGCTCCGGCTCCCCTCGGTTCCTTGGCGCTGCCCGCCCGCGCGCAGCGCATCCCGAGCCCAAACCCGCGCTCAGGGAGCGGCACAGCACCTCTGCCAGAGCTCCCCCGGACCCCCACGGGGGCACCGAGCTGCCTTCCCCCGCCCCGAGCACCGTGCGGGGCTACGTCCGGGCATCTAGGGAGCCTCTCCCTAAAGCTAAGGCTCGGACTGAACTGATAAAAAAAAAAAAGTCTTGCTTTACACGTGCAATTTAGAAGCTTTTATTTTAAGCGGCAGAAGCATAAGGTAATTTTCATTTCCCACTGGGTCTGGAGTGAATTGAGTTCCATAAGCATTGCGTGCTTTTACAAGAAAAGAATGCAAAAACATAAAGAAAAGAGCTAGTTATTCCCTCCGTCAAGCCTCAAAACATTACCGGAGTTGTGGAGACAGATATACTGTTTTCCCCTTCCCTCCTAAGCCATGGAGATACTTTAATTCAGTTGAGCTGTAAATACATTAGATAAGAATTTATCAGTTTATTGAATAAGCCATATATCTATAAGCTAGCACAGGTAGCTCTAGACAAGCGTGTGACAACTTGTTTCTTAAATATCTAATAAAGGGGTTACATTAGCATTATTTGAGAACTTCATTCAAAGGTTAACAGAAGCAATAAACTGTTTTGTGAAGCTGTAAACCTGCTGTAAAGCCAAATCTATTTCTGATTTCTGTATGAAGCTAAGATGACACTTCAACAAACTGATCTGCTCAGACAGTGGCTAAAAAGGACTTCTGCTATGAATGGGAGAGGCCCCTGAAATTACATCCTCCTTAACTAAGTTGTAAAATTTTCAGTCCTACTCAACCTTAGCACATGGAACACCTAGGTATTTGTACTCTGTGTAAACTTGTCCTGTTTAACAGAACACACTTTTAAGCTAACATCCCGCTCACCCCAGACCTTCCCAAACCTTTGTTCTGTATTGCCAGTGCAAACAGGCTCGGTATTCTCCAGGCGTCAGCCACTGGAGGGCAACGTTACCCATTCCTCATACACCACGGTCATGCACACAACCTTTGCGGGGCCAATAAAGCCGATGTAATTAACACTGATGTGCTTTCAACAGCACCGCCTCTTGCCCAAGGCAAGTGTTGCACACTGTGAAGTCATACTTTGGAGACATTAAGCCGACTTGCAAGTTCGAGGCTAAATAATTGATTTTCTTTCATTCCAGTTGATATCAATTCAGACAGCAAAAATATGCCAGCTTGATCATTTTTACTTAGTGAAAAGAGACAATTTCAGAAAGTGAAATATGAAGACTGTAGACTATGCAAGGCTATGCCATTATGATACTATATTAAGTTACTCAGCCTGAAGAAGCTTGCCATGACATAGAAGACCACTCAGCCTTGCTGAATGGATATTTTCCCCCTCAGAAAAACGGAACTAAATGCTCTACTGGATATCTGTTGTCCTTTCCCATTGATTTCATGTTGTGTAACTGCAAAGGAGATCAAACAATACTCTTAAGAGCATTAAGTGCAAGGAAGCAGCTTTCATCAGTTTTCCTAATCAAGTGCCAGAACAGAAGTGCAATTATTCTAGAACAAATATGCTTTAAAAATTGTTGGGTTTTTTTCAGGGATCTTATTTATTTGGGATGTTTTTCATAACATTCTCTGATGATTGAAATCTTCCTGCTGACTAGTTCTCCTTGCTGCAAAGTATTATGAAGCTGTCCCACAACTTTAAGGATTAATTGAGTCAATATAGCTGATGAAGTTCAGAAGTATTTAGGTTTAATTAACATACTTTCCTTTTGGCTGCTCTCTTCAAGACAGGTGCCTCAGGGACAACCTGTCTCATTCTTTAGGTGCACTGAAATATTTCCAAAGCAGACTTACTAGAGTGTAGAAACAGTTGTAATAAGGTTTCGGGTTTTGAAAGTGGATCAAGGCAGCTGCTTCAACTCTTAGTGGAATAATGCTCATTTTGGAAGATTATCCAATAATCCTGCCCATCAGGAATGCCTTCCACCTCCCTCCCCTGTTACTAATCAGATCATGTCCAAAAGCCTGTAGAGAGTGGCCTTTACTACTGGCTGTAGATTCTCTCCTTTTCTTGCATTTCCAAAAAAGTTAAGGATCCCTGAGCTTCTGAGAATCTCCTGGTGGGCAGCAGTACCAGGGGTTACACCCCCCTCAGAAGTATCACCCTCAAGGACACCTGACCACATGCAGACCATCACTTCAGCCATACAAAAGTAATTTCACCTCTACTTCTTGTTTCAGAAAGGCTGTGGATAAACACAGCAGACTTGACCACCTCCAACACTTGTGGGATTTAAAACTGAAGGCTCAGCAGCTCTTATTCACAGTAGCATGTACTTCCCCATACCCAGAGGAGTAAGATTCATTGACTTCACTTAAGGGCATGCCAACTTGTCACTCTCTCCCACAAGACTTGGACCTTTCTTGTTATTCATCCTAGGACTTGCAACACTGCTATGCAATTTATTTTGCATCCAACTTCTCATAACTTCAATTAGTAGTAGTAATAACAGAACGCTATCTCACAGCCTCTTCATTTAGAAGAGCCACATCAGATTTAGCTTATATGATCAGCTACATAGGATTTTGACTGCCCTAATCATATTGATCCTAAGTCTGCATTACAGAATTGTTTAAGTTGAAAAAGACCTTTAAGATCCTCAAGTCCAACCATGAACCCAGCACTGCCCAGTTGGCTCTAAACCATGTTCCAAAGACACAACTACCTGTTTCTTAAGCATCTTTAGGGATGACAACTCAACTACTTAGATCTTTGTGGAATTTAAACATTGTCTAATACACCTTGCTTCAATTCTGAGGCATGAGACACTTTCTGCAGGAGTTTAATACTGCTTTCCACAGTGCTTTACAAGTTCAATGAGTCAGACTTGAGTTATAAACTCCCTTATAAAAAGCCCATTCATTTCTTTAAGGCTCTTACTGTACACTATTTAACGAGGTTTCTTCTAAAAATAGATGGGATTAAAGCTTGACAAAAATAAAGAGATTTTATAGCTTTCTCTCATCATTAAGAGAAACCAGACTTGATGCCCTGACAAATTCATATGGCATTTATTATCACTTGAAAAGCAATGAATTATGGTTGAACACTCTTACATCACCAGGCCTGCAAAGATGACATTTTTCCATGTCTGTCTCCTTAATATCTGCTCAGTAACAGTCAGTTTCTGCATGATTGCATAAATAAAGTGTTGTGAATTCTGTAGTGTTTTGAAAGATGAGTCACTTGGCATGCTTGTCAACTGTCAGAAGTCACAAGAGAACTCATGCCAAAATTTTATCACTTTTCACTTAAGTAGATCAGCCAGCTAGTTACTACCTCTAGCTTGGTGAAGTGCTTGGTTGCTCTAACATGTGTTCCATTTTTAAGAACAAATGATTATAGATTAAGCCCCTCACCAAAACATCAGAACCACGCTCTATGAGAAACAGCTGATTTGTACAGAAGTTCACCAAAGGCTTCATGCCATTTAAAATTAAAGCAATGTTAAGAGCGTTTACAGCCAAGAATAATGCTTCTGATTCTGCACACTGCTTGCAGGACTAGGATCTAGTACCAGAAAGAGCTGAAGTACACTGAGGTAAAGAACCTACCCCTATTTGAGAGCAGAGTTGGGCTACAATCTCCAGGGGTCGATCCTCTTACCTCAAGCACCCTGTGATTCTAAGCTCAGACACTCACAAGTCAAAGTTTAAGTAGCCATACAAAGTTCCCTGTATACTCCCAACTGTAAGAAGTGACAGTTTTCAATTGTGACATATGAAAGACAGCTTTCCTCAGAGTGAAAGAGAGTGCCACCAAAAGCCTCCAAACTTTCTCATTTACAAAAAACATGGCATTTTTGTTATTGGTTAAGCCTCAAAGAAAGTGACAAAGTGAACACCTGAAAAGCTAAGAGCTGTATTTAGAGAGCTGGAAGACAAGTTTAGACTTTTCCTTGAACTGAAAAACAAATTTGGCTCTCAACAAGCCACTCAGATTCAGTAACATGCTCACTTTTTAGGGATAACATTTTTGCACAGCATTACTATCACAAACTGAGTCCAAAGATGACACCAAATGAGGAGTTCTGCACTTCAGAACTCTCAACACGTTAATATACAAAAAATTACTCTGAAGCATGACTAAATGAATTTGTTTTACCTGAAATAAGTTATTTCTTGCACTGTTTCTCTAGCTGCTCTCAACAGAAATGCAGCTGGAAGTTAATCTAGAAGCACATAAGGTAGGAGGTCAAAGAGGCAGAGCACAGCATGCTGCCAACAGGAGATGCAGGGCATCAACTTCAGCTACCAGGTCCTCCAAGAGAGCTTTGTTCCACAGGACCGGGATATCTTGACCTTGAGTTACAACCAGTTCATGTGGAAAAAAACCCTGATGAACAGTGTTATGGTTTTCATTTTTAAGAATTTAGAAAACTGCCACAGTGTTCAACAGCATAACATTGTAGGAAAACATTCTGACATGCTCATGTCCGAACAAAGGAAGATCTGGCAGATTTTACAGTGGAGCTTTTATTTTCTAGCTCTTCTATTA